ATTTTTCTTCCTCCCCCTTGTAACAACCTTTTATGTACTCTCAGTCTTCTCTTTTCCAGACTAAACAAACCCAATTTTTTCAATCTTCCCTCATAGGTCATGTTTTCTAGACCTTTAATGATTTCTGTTGGTCTTCTCTGGACTTTCTCCAATTTGTCCACATCCTTCCTGAAATGTGGTGCCCAGAACTGGACACAATACTCCAGTTAAGGCCTAAAGAGCACGGAGTAGAGCGGAAGAATTATTTCTTGTATATTGCCTACAACACTCCTGCTAATGCAGCCCAGAATGATGTATGCTTTATTTGCAACAACGTTACACTGTTGACTCATATTTAGACTGTGATCCACTATGACCCCCAGATCTTTTTTCCATAGAACTCCTTCCTAGACAGTCTTTTTGTATGTGTGCAACTGATTGGTCCTGCCTAAGTGGAGTACTTTGCATTTGTCCTTACTGAATTTCATCCGATTTACTGCAGACCATTTCTCCAGATCATTTTGAATTTTAATCCTATCCTCCAAAGCACTTGCAACCCCTCCCAGCTTGGTATCGTCCACAAAATTTATAAGTGTACTCTCTATGCCATTATCTAAATCATTGATGAAGATATTGAACAGAACTGGACCCAAATCCAATCCCTGTGGGACCCCATTTGATGCATCCTTCCAGCTTGACTGTGAACCACTGATAACTACTCTCTGGGAACAGTTTTCCAACCAGCTATGCACCCATCTCATAGTAGCTCCATCTAAATTTTATTTCCCTAGTTTGTTTATGAGAAAGTCATGCGAGACAGTATAAAAAACCTGTACTAAAGTCAAGATATACCACATCTACAACTTTCCCCCATCCACAAGGCTTGTTAGCATGTCAAAGAATGCTATTAGGTTGGTTTGACATGATTTGTTCTTGACAAACCCATGCTGACTGTTACTTATCATTTTATTATCTTTTAGGTGTCTGCAAACAGATTGCTTAATTATTTATTCCATTGTCTTTCTGGGTACTGAAGTTAAGATGACTGATCTGTAATTTCCTGGGTTGTCTTTAGTCCCCCTTTTATTGATTTGGACTATAATTTTAACCTTTTCCAGTCCTCTGGAATCTCTCCCATCTTCTATGACTTTTCAAAGATAATTGCTAATGGCTCAGATGTCTCCTAATTCAGCTCCTTGAGTAGTCTAAGATGTATTTCATCAGGCCCTGGTGACTTAAAAACATTTAACTTGTCTAAGTACACCTCTACCCCGATATAACACGAATTCGGCTATAACATGGTAACGCAGTGCTCCGGGAGGGGGGAGGGGGAGAAGAGGGTCTGCGCACTCCGGTGGATCAAAGCAAGTTCGATATAACGCGGTTTCACCTATAACACGGTAAGATTTTTTGGCTCCCGAGGACAGTGTTATATCGAGGTGTAATTTCTAACTTGTTCTTTCCCTATTTTAGCCTCTGATCCTACCTCATTTTCACTGGCATTCACTAAGTTAGATATCCAAATGTTTGTAGTGAAACTTTTTAGTGAAAAACAAACAAAAAAATCATTTGGCGCTTCTGCCATTTCCACATTTTCTGTTATCCGCCCCCTCACTCTCCCCCATTGAGTAATGGGCCTACCCTGTCTGGTCTTCTTCTTGCTTCTAATGTATTTGTAGAATGTTTTCTTGTTACCCTTTATGTCTCTAGCTTGTTTAATCTCATTTTGTGCCCTTTCCTTTCTAATTCTGTCCCTAAAAACTTGTGTTATTGGTTTCTTTTCATCCTTTGTAATTTGATCTAGTTTCCACTTTTTATAGGATTCTTTTTTGAGTTTTAGATCATTGAACATCTCCTGGTTAAGCCAGGGTGGTCTCTTGGCATGCTTCCTATCTTTCCAGTGGGATAGTTTGCTCTTATGCCATGAAATCAGTTGTATCTTTCTTCAGTCCCAGAATTCCCTTTAACAAATCAGACTGTTCTTCAGGTGGACAGACAAGGGATGGTTGTGACATTGTCTTTACACGTAGGTTGGTACAGCACCACTCGTATTTGTTTCATGTAGTGGCTGACCCATATGTAACATTTCCCCCGCCCCCCCCCCAAAATAGTTTAGTAATACTTTAGAGCAGAGAGGAATACATCTTACCCTGTGCCCTTTAGTGGTTCCAGCAGATTTATTTCTGCTCACTGGACAATATGGCAGAGAAGAAACACTCCCATCAAAGCCTCACTGAAGAAACACTCCCATCAAAGCCAGAAGATGACAGCTCTAGCACCGCCTGTTAATCTCAGCTACTTTGGTACCACCCAATGAAATGGGCAGGTCCTCAGGTGGTCAGTACCAGAATCAGGAAGCATTGAACAGATTAAAACCCCAAACTCCTTGAACTGCACCAGACAACAAATGGAAATCACAGAGCACTTCTAAAGCACAGCATTCTAGTGGCAGAGTAGCATGACTGGGCAGAAGTTTAAGTCCTCATATAGCATGGTCTGTGAATTCAAAACCACTTTATTAAGAATATTTTGACAAAGACACCCTGCAAAGTACCTGAATTGCCTTTGTAATTGTCATAAGACTTGTATGGTTTTTGGATGTTTTTTCCTGCTGAAAGCTCATCTTGAGATATTGACATCAATGGCCTCAGGCTGCTGGCATAATTGACCTAGGGGAAATAAAGCACGTCTCATTGTATTTGTTCCAAACATTTACATTTCATTTTCAACATTTCAAAAATAGCAACTTTTCCTATAGAATGCCAAGACATGTTCTTTGGTAATGCTATTTTTAAGCAATGAATCCCATGTTTTGCTGTGCTGCTCAAGTTTGCTCCCTATTTTGCTCACAACTATCAATGTGAATAACAACGTCCTCCCATTTGACTTGAGTTTTGAATTAGCCATTAATTTAAGTAAAATCAATCTCAAATATACAAGTTAGGCCTTTGAGCTCTCTCTCTCTCACACATACACACCCACACCTTATGATACCTGTTTATCATAATGTGCCTAGTGCTAGCAAAATGAAAGCCAACCAAACATACTAACCATTTAGCCAGTATTAATACATTCTAGTTTTGACAGTGCTAATGTTTTTTTCCTTGAAAGACTTCAGGGATTATTTTCCTTATTCCCCTCCTCCTTCTCCAGTTACTGTACAGGTTTTCAAAACTTTGTTATATTTTAAAATAATATTCATGGCAATGTCATGGGTGAAGGTTTGAATTTCATGGGATATGCATGGCTGCTGAATCCCCCCAGAACCAAACAGATTCGATTCTTCCAGTAATGAGGAGGCTGTTTGTGGGGAGCAGGTCAGTCCCAACCCTGAGGGGGAAAGCAGAGATGGTGGGCAGGTCCTATTCCAAGGAATCGAGGGATGGCAGGCAGGCAGCAGGTCTCACCACAAGGTGCTGACTGATCTGACCCAGCCCAGCATGGGGCAAGGATCAGAACCTGGCTCACTCTGCACTCCATTCCAGACCAGGCTACTGCTTAGTGATTAGGAGCCTCGGCGTGGACCCTGCAAGTCCTGGGAAGAAACTGAAGCACCAGCTGGTGAGAAACGAGGATCCATCCACTCTATCCTCCTGCCAGGGCAGGGCAGGGCCCCTCACATACCTGCTCCTGTTCCAAGCAGTGGCAGCACGGGCTAGGATATTGGCTACGGTGGAGGAATGGATCCTGGTCTCAGCTCCTGCAGTGTCTACCTCGGGCCTGCAGGAGCCACTGTATATAGGCTGGCCAGGTTCCCAACCACTGCGTTGCCAGAGCCAGCCCTCCTCCTCCCCCCCAAGTCCTATCAGCCAGACAGGAAGCAGCAACCTGGATGGGAGCCAAACAGCATAAGCCAGGCCCTGATCTCTGCCCCTGGCTGGGCCAGACCATCTAGAGCCATATACAGGAACTCCTCACTTAAAGTCACCCTGGTTAATGCTGTTTCGATGTTAAGTTGCTGATCAATTAGGGAACCAGGGTGGACCAGCAGCCCCCTATCAGCTCCCCACTCCCCTAAGTTCCCTGTGCAGCAGCTGTCCCTCCCCCCCCACTGCCGTGTGCTGCTCCTGCCCTCTGCCTTGGAGCTGCTCCGAGACTCCTGCTTGGTGTATGGGATAGGAGGGGGGGGAGAGAAGAAGGGAGCTAATGTCAGCGTGTCTCCCGCTCCCCCCTGCTCCTGCACCCCGCTTACCGCATCTTCCATAGAGCAGGGGGAGACACACGATGGAGGGACGGAGCTTCTAGACAGTAGCTGCTGTCTCAGGTCTCAGCAAGCTGATTTAATTAACAAGGCAGTGTACTTAAGCCTGGTGTCGGCTATTTAAAGGGGAAATGTGCATTTTTTTTCTCTCACACACAGGGTGTGTGTCTCAGTCTGCCCTCCCTCCTTTCCTGTTGCCTTGTAGAGTGTTGTGAGAGTTAACCCTTCATGGCTCAGTCAACTGCTAGTTCATTTAGCAGTAAGGCATTCCCTGGGAAATATCCCATCCTCTGACCCCTCCACCTCAACCAAGCTTCACAATCATCATCACTGTGTACCAGTATTAAATTGTTTGTTTAAAACACAGAGAGTTAGTATTTTGTCTGCTGAAAAAAGTTTTCCTGGAACCTAACCCCCTCATTTACATTAATTCTTATGGGGAAATTGGATTCGCTTAACATTGTTTCGCTTAAAGTCGCATTTTTCAGGAACATAACTACAGCCTTAAGTGAGGAGTTCCTGTAATGAGACACATCCCTATCCCAGCCGCCAATCCCCTCCCTCCCGGAATAGGACCAACCCACCACCTTTTTGACCCACTCCAGAATGGGACCAGTCTGCTAACCCCCACAAGCAGCCATGGCCTCAACAGGGAGAAAGTAGGGATGTCTGCTTCCGCCTTTCTGCTGTTGAAAGTCGCAATACTAGGCTAACTTATCACGGTTTCATGGAACCATGATTTTCACTGGTCGCTATATATAAGCGGATAAAAACAGAAGAGCAACCAGCCTAGTTGTCTCTACTACAGTCTGCTGCTATACGAGAAGAAACAGGAGCTGTTCTCATGGCTCAAAGCCTCAAGCAGGAACAGAGCTGCATGCCACCAATGAGAACTGTCCACATGTCCAGGGAGAAAAGAATGAAGCAGCCAAGTAGTGTCACTTGGGGGAAAACACCAAATGGTTGAGTTAGTTCCCTTATATCTTGGATATACAAGTGGCAGGAAAGCAGTGTGGTGGGAGAACAACTAGGCAACATGTAAGCATGTGCAGAAGAAGGTAAAGGAGGCCAACTGAAGAGACACACATGCAGAGGGGAGAAAAATAGGACAAATGGGACGTGGAAAAGAAATTAAAAAGAAAAAACTGTGCAATTAACTTCTCAAAACTAAGCTACTTATACTTAAATTTATTTCCTAATTTCCGTGCCAAATGCCGTAGTTGTTTCAGGGACGTTACATGATTATGAATGGGAGGAGTGGGTAAACCAATGGGAAAACCCTCGCAACAGAACACCACAATATGGAACTAGTCATTGAGGTAGACCAATTACTTACAGCTGCTTTCTTTTTACAAAAGGTCTTCAAAGCTTCGGTCAGCTGTTGTGTAATACTAACTACCAGAGTTGCTTCTGTGTCTGAGGTGACCCGAAAAGATTCCTGTCAAATTAAAAATAATCACACATTCAAAAAGGTTAAGTTTCAAACAATAACTAAGGACACTTATCTCAAATACTCAACCCGACTTCCCATAGGAGATCATGAGTTTTGGGAAACAGATGCAAAATAAATGGATTCAAATGAAGTTCTATGACCAACTCAAGCAAAAAATTAAGGAAATGAGATTTAAAAAGCAAAAAAAGGGCTGAGAATTTACAAACTGGATGCTAACAGACCTCAAATCCTAGTGATGACTGAACCAGATGATAATCTAAATAAAGAGGGCTTTTCATCCACACTGGTAGCTGTTTCCACTGCTTCACACTGCCTCAGACATTTTAGGATTCAGAATGACATTTCTGGAATCTTGTTATATAGATGGGGCAAAATGGCATAAAAGAGTGGAAGAGCAACCAGAGAGCACCACAGTAAAAACCAAAAAGGCAGAATGAAGCAGGTGTCCGAGCCTCTCTTCAAATTATTTTTAAAGAAAATAGTTAAGTAACCTTTTCTTCTCAGAACTTCTAAATACAGACGAGACACTTCCCTAAACAAATTACAGGCCATAATTAATCATGAACATTCTCCTAGCAAAACATTTTAGACATTAAACATTATTACAAATTACTTTAGCAGCTAATGTTAAAATCTCTACAAAAAGCAGAGATATCAAGTTCTATTTCTTTGAACTCTGAAGCAGTTCAAATTCAAGTTCTAATGTACGATGTTACAGGCAACAGCAAGCAGCAAAGGATTTATTTATACTGTAGCTGCCCAATCTTTAAGATTTGGTGAAATATGACTTGAAAAGTAGGAATTACTGATCAAGTTCATTCATAATCTTTCAAGTGATTTATGCAAGATTCGTTCTTTCTGCAGTGGTGCAAATCCAGTGTTAAAACGTAGCAAATCCTGGCAAAAGTACTTTTTGTACATACCAAGTATTCTAGGGCTTTCTGCTTTCGAACTGGATCATTCTGTAGGGGGGAAAACCACCACAAGGACTGATTACAGTGCTTATATATATATATATATATTCTTCTGCAAAACATCATAATATATAACAACCAAATGCTTGAGGGAAGAAAATATTTTACAGCAGTCAATTATAATCTTAGGCCCTTATTGCTGGTATATACAGTAACAACTGCAATATTTCCATTTTGGGCTATGTAAGTTTCAAAATTAAGACAGACTTTAGCTCCCAAGATATAGGGTTCCTGAAAAAACTCTTCACTTTCAGCAATTACCTTTCTGTTCTCATGTTGACCATAAGAGAACAGGTCTTTTACTGTTAAATAGTTAACATTTTATTTCAAATGTTACAGCTTATTTCAATGATAAGCTGATATTCTTCTTAAGGTGAAATGCTAATAGAATTTACTTTGCCCTTAACATATTTCATACGAGGATAATCAAAGCACCTTACAAAAAAATAAAATAAAAATCAACACCTGTGAGGGGATAGAAGTAATTATGCCAATTTTATATGCAGAAAGTGAGGTTGAAAGGCTCATGCACAGTCAGTGGATGAATTAGGACTCCTGGGCTCTAATCCGAACATCCAATTGCACAAGTTTAAGTAAAGGTACATATACCAAAGCAAGATAAAGTTATGTAAGACTGTTTTAAAACAATATAAATGTTTCCACATAAGAATTTGCATTAGGGTTGCCAACTTTCTGATTGCAGGAAACAGAACACCCTTGCCCCATCCTCTTTCCTGAGGCCCCACCCCCTACCACACCCCTTCTCTAAGGCCCCTCCCCCACTCACGCCATTCCCCCCGCCCCTCCATTGCTCATTCTCACCCACCCTCGCTCACTTGCTCATTTTCACCGGGATGGGGCAGAGGGTTGGGGTGCGGGTGCTGGGGGTGAGCCAGAGATTCATAGACTCATAGTCTTTAAGGTCAGAAGGGATCATTATGATCATCTAGTCTGACCTCCTGCACAACGCAGGCCACAGAATCTCACCCACCCACTCCTGTAACAAACCCCTAACCTATGCCTGAGTTACTGAAGTCCTCAAATCGTGGTTTAAAGACCTCAAGATGCAAAGAATCCTCCAGCAAGTGACCCGTGTCCCACGCTGCAGAGGAAGGCAAAAAACCTTCAGGGCCTCTGCCAATCCGCCCTGGAGGAAAATTCCTTCCCAACCCCAAATATGGCGATCAGTTAAACCCCGAGCATGTGGGCAAGACTCACCAGCCAGCACCCAGGAAGGAATTCTCTGTAGTAACTCAGATCCCACCCCATCTAACATCCCATCACAGACCATTGGGCATATTTACCTGCTAATAATCAAAGATGAATTAATTGCCAAAATTAGGCTATCCCATCATACCATCCCCTCCATAAAAAAACGTATCAAGCTTAGTCTTGAAGCCAGATACGTCTTTTGCTCCCACTGCTCCCCTTGGAAGGCTGTTCCAGAACTTCACTCCTCTAATGGTTAGAAACCTTAGTCTAATTTCAAGTCTAAACTTCCTAATGTCCAGTTTATATCCATTTATTCTTGTGTCCACATTGGTACTAAGCGTGAATAATGAAAGGTTTGGGGGTGAGGGCTCCGGCTGGGGGTACAGGCTCTGGGGTGGGGCCAAGGATGAGGGGTTCAGAGTGTGGAGGGGGGCTCTGGGCTGGGGCTTGGGATGGCATGCGGGCTCCGGGGTGGGGCCAGGAGGTTGGGGTATGGGGGGGGGTATAAGGACTCTGGCTGAGAGTGCAGGCTCTGGGGCAGGACGGGGGATGAAGGGTTTGGAGTGCAGGAGGGGGCTCAGGGCTAGGGCAGGCAGTTGGTGTGCAGGAGGGTGTGGGCTCCGGGAGGGAGTTGGGGTGCAGGAGGGGGCTCAGGGCTGGTGGAGGAGGTTCGGGGTGTGGTGCAGGGTCTGGACAGCGCTTACCTGAGGCGGTTCCCAGAAGCAGTGACATGTCCTCTGGCTCCTAGGCACAGGGGCGCCCACGAAGGCTCCGTGCGCTGGTTTAGCCCGCAGGCACTGCCCCACAGCTCCCATTGGCCGTGGTGTAGGCCAATGGGAGCTGTGGAGCCGGTGCTCGGGGTGGGGTCAGCGTGCAGAGCCTCCATGGCTGCTCCTGTGCATAGGGGCCGCGGGGATATGCCAGCCGCTTGCAGGAGCTACACTGAGCCTGGGAATCTTTTAGGAATGAAGGGCGGGTGTGGGGGTGTGTGTTGCATATCTCATTACTGGAATTATTTCTCAGTTTAGGCAAACGATTTCTGCCTTTAACTAGATGATTAAATACTCCAAAGGGAAAAAAAAATAATCCAGCCAAGTACTATCAGCACTTAGTAGATTTACCATTTTAAAGTGAACCTGCCTTAACCCTGCTGCAACACCAACTGGATTTTTAATGGCCCGGTCAGTGGTGCTGACAGGAGCCACCAGGGTCCCTTTTTGACCAGGCTCCTGGCAACTCTAGTTTGCATAGGTTTAACTAGATCAGTTTTTTAAATGTACAAGAAAGCTGCAACTGAAGAGAAGTCTAGTGGTGAATCCAAAGCTTAACAACTGATGACAAGCCATTATGAAGAGGGAAGATGTCATATTCAAGTGTGGAATTTCTTATAGCATGTGAATATCTTCCTCCGGGAGCCAATTTCTTCCCTGATGAGACACTGTGCTTTGATAGCTCTCATGGCACAAGCAGATATCCGTGCCAATGAAATAGGCCACAACTAAGAGCCAAAAGTATCAAGACAACTGGTTGGCCTGAGACCACACACAGTGCCAAATTCCAGAAGAATCATAGTTCTTACAGCAATGGTTCTCAAATAGATGCACACATACCCATGGGTGTAGGCAGAGGTCTTCCAGGGGATACATCAACTCATCTAGATATTTGCCTAGTTTTACAACAGGCTACATAAAAAGCCTAGCAAAGTCACTACAAACTAAAATTTCATACACACAAAATCAGAGTAAGCAAATTCTTAGTGTGTTGTGACACTTTTGTATTTTTATATCTGATTTTGTAAGCAAGCAGTTTTTAAGTGAGCTGAAACTTGGAGTACTCAAGACAACTTAGACTCCTGAAAGGGGTACAGTAGTCTGGAAAGGTTGAGAACCACTGATTTATAGCATATGGTGTGTCAAAGTTTTGATATTAAGATCAAGATAAGGCTGACAAAACTGTTGGTGCCTAGTGCTTTTCAGGGCAGCTACTAAAGGCATCATCAATATAAATTAATTATTTGTATTACTGTAGCAACTAGGAGCCATGGTCATGAACCAAGACAACATTGTGTTAGGGTACATCTTTGAGAAAAATCTGTGGATTTTTTTATTGTCCTTTTGCTAACCCAAGATTTAACAAGTTATTGAGTATAGAAGATCTTTGATTTAAAGAAGGAGGGAATAGTGAGGAAGCAGACTGACTGACTTTCGACTTGGGGTACAGAGACAAAGCTTCCTCCACAAAATTGATTAACCAAAGAGTGGTAAGCATCTCTTACCAAAATGAAGATTTGTTACGGTAGGTTATTTCACTTTATTGTATAAAGTGGAATACAATATCAAGAAAATAGGAAACTGAGTCAAAACAGGTAGACATTCAGAAAACAAGAACAATGAAACATAACTATCATACAACACATTTCAAAATTACTAACTCTTACCTCAGGCTTGTAATCATCTTCCCACCTAGAATAAAAAGAAGAAAGTTCAGTTGTTAAAGCAACAGCATAAAGGCTATTTTAAAAAGGATTTAGAATTTTATATAAGCCATCCTGTGCACAGATTTCAACTTCCCAAGTGACCTCAATTATTAATCAAGACCTCCCACCATATGGCACATCCGTAGAACCACATTCAATGCTGGAATATAGGACCACAATAAGGCCACCAGAAGAGTCCAAGAACACTTTCTACTAGGGCTGTGAGGAGATTAAAAAAATTAATCGTGATTAATCGCGCTGTTAAATAGAATACTATTTATATAACTATTGTTGGATGTTCTCCACATTTTCAAATATATTGATTTCAGTTACAAAACAGAATACAAAGTGTACAGTGCTCACTTTATATTCATTTTTTATTATATTTGCACTGTAAAAATAAAAAATGGTATTTTTCAATTCACTTAATACAAGTACTGTACTGCAATCTCTATCATGAAAGTTGAACTTACAAATGTAGAATTATGTACAAAAAACTAACTGCGTTCAAAAATAAAACAATGTAAAACTTTGGAGTCTACATGTCAACTCAGTCCTACTTCTTGTTCAGCCAATTGGTCAGACAAACAAGCTTGTTTACATTTGCAGGTGATAATGGTGCATGCTTCTTGTTTACAAAATGTCACCTGAAAGTGAGAGTAGGCAAGATATTTATGTGCCAGATGCGTTAAAGATTCGTATGTTCGGACATGTAGGCTCTAAAGTTTTACATTGTTTTGTGTTTGAGTGGAGATATGTAACAAACAAACAAACAAACAAAAAATCTACATTTGTAAATTGCACTTTCACGATAAAGAGATTGCAATATGGTACTTGTATGAGGTGAATTGAAAAATACTATTTCTTATTTTTACAGTGCAAATATTTGTAATAAAAATAATATAAAGTGAGTACTGTACACTTTGTATTCTGTGTTGTAATTTAAATCAATATATTTGAAAATGTAGAAAAACATGCAAAATATTTAATACATTTCAATTAGTATTCTATTGTTTTAACAGTGTGATTATTTGCTATTATTTTTCTACTATACAGACATAAATAGTAACAAAGCTCCTTCACAGAACATCAGCTCCTTGATAAGAAAAATGCCTTAATTATCTTGGTCATCTCCTTTGACTGTGTGCCACCTCTGCAACATTCTCAACCAATGCCAGCCCTGGGTATGACGGACCATTTTGGGATATGATCTGAAGTTTCTCTATATATAAATACATCATGCTGCCATTAAATGACTCAGCAAGTGCAATACATCAGAAAGTCATAGTTATACATATAAGATTAAAATAATCTATAACTCACTGATAATCAACAGAGTTTTGTACGAGAGGAAAAACTGAACAAAGACAACAAATAAAAAAATGTAGGATTTTTTTCTAAAGACAAGTTGCAATGGTCTGAGATAAACAAAATAAGTAGACACTTAATCATTTCAAATGTATGGTGATGTAATGGTAATAAATCTATTCATGTGGGAGTTTACTGGAGGTTTCCTCACCTTGATTTTTTCTTTGATGATGAGGCTAGAAAAAACAATTGGATGCGGTCAGCAAGAGCACATGTGCATTATAGTATCATTGAAAACGGATTATAATATAAATTAAATATTTATTTACACTCCGAGCTCAGTTAAGTACAGAACTCTTCAGCACTGGCCCTGTTCATTATGCCAATGGATCTGATTAAATTTTGTCACCATCAGCCAAATTCACCTTCCCTCTTATCTTACTATTAGACCAGGGGTGGGCAAACTTTTTGGGCCGAGGGCCACATCTGGGTGGGGAAATTGTAGGCAGGGCCGGGGCAGAGGGTTGGGGTGCGTGAGGGAGTGTGAGGTGTGGGAGGGGGTGCAGTGTGCAGGCAGGGGCTCAGGGCAAGGGATTGGGGCAGAGGAGGGGTGCAGGGTGTATGAGGGGGCTCAGGGCAGGGGGTTGGGGTGCAGGAGGGGTGTGAGGAGCAGGTAGGGGGCTTAGGGTAGGGAGTTGGGGGGCAGGGTTCGGGCTCCGGCCTGGCGCCACTTACCTAAAGCGGCTCCGGGATGGCAGCGGTGCAGACTGGGGGGGGGCGGGGGGGGAGGGGAGGGCC